AGCTAGCTAGCTAGCTAGCTAGCTAGGACTCACGTGAAGACGCAGGGAATGAGGTCTTCTTCGTCGGAAGAGTGTTTGGGGTCGGGGGGCCCCCGGCCATAGAGCTGCAGGTCCCCCCGGGGGGAAGCAGCAAAGGAGGCCCCCAGGGGGCCCCCATGGGTGGAGGGCCCATAAGTCAGAGAAAGCTCTTCTGCTGCTGCTTCTCCGGTCTGCAGCGGGCCTATTCCTGAGCAGCAGCAGCAGCAGCAGCAGCAGCAGCTCGAGGAGCAGGCGCAGCGGCGGAGCTGCGGCAGCAGCAGCAGAAACGGCAGCAGCAGCAGGTGGAGGCGCAGCAGCAGCAGAGCAGCAGCAGCAGAAGCAGCAGCAGCAGCAGGAGAAGCAGCAACAGCAGAACAGCAGCAGTAGCAGCAGCAGCAGGTGGAGACGCAGCAGCAGCGTGAAAGCGGCAGCAGCAGAAGCATCATCAGCAGCACAGTAGCAGCAGCAGGTGGAGGCGCAACAGCAACATGAAAGCCGCAGCAGCAGGAGAAGCAGCAGCAGCAGCAGCACGCGGACGCGCAGCAGCAGCAGGAGGGCAGCAGCAGCAGCAGGAGCAGCAGCAGCAGCACGTGGAGGCGCAGCAGCCGCAGCAGCAGCAGCGCGGCAGCCGCAACAGCAGCACGCCAGGGCGATCGCAGAGCCGCGCCGCCGGGGAACAAGAAGCGCGGGGTCAGGGGTGAGGGTTTAGGGTTTAGGTAGGGTTTAGGGTATAGGCAGGGTTTAGGGTATAGGTAAGGTTTAGGGTTTGGAGCTGCAGTGGGCTGAAGGGGCGCGGCGCATGCAGAAGGGAGAGAGGCGAGGCTGGGGTGTACGTACACCCGACGCACCAGGTATGCCGCTGCGGTAAGTGTCGCTGAAGGCGTGCTGCCTAGTGGTGCTGGTTTGGGACCCCATGGGCGCCTCAGGGGGCTTTAAAAGGGCCTTCGAAGCTCCATGAAGGTAGAAAAGAGCTAATGGATTTGTTTGGGAGGAGAAAGCGCGAAAAAAGAGGGAGAAAAACGCGTTTCGCGCGGTGTATGTACACCCGCCGCGGAAAGCTGAACGCGCCACCGCCGGCACGGATCACGCGGCCTTCTTCCCCGTTTCGCGGCTCTACACAGCAAAAAGAACAAATAAATGAACAAATAAAGGTATTTAATTCGAATTTTGTTTCGAATTTCGCGCAAAAAGAGCCCCGGAGCTCCTGACACGCCCGTGAACAGGCCTCGCTGCTGCTGCTCTGCCGCCGCTGCTGGTTCCCGCTGATCTGACCACAAAGTGGAGCTTTTTTCAAATAAAAACCCTTTATTCAATTAAACAAACTTTGCAAAATGCTATTTTCCCTTTTTTCTCCCGAACTTCAGCTTTTAAATGCCAGTTTCACTGCATGCAGCTGCTGCTGTGGCTGGTCGCCGCTGCTGCTGTTGCTGCTGCTGCAGCAACTGCAGCACAGATGAAGCCTCCCTTTTCTTTATTGGATTCCTTTCCATTCTTCGGCGTTTCAAATCCCAGAAGCAGCAGAAACACCAAGCCTCACGAAGCTGCTGCTGCTGCTGCTGCTGCTGCTGTTGTAGCTGGTGTTGCTGCTGTTGCTGTTGTAGTTGTTGGTGTTGCTGCTGCTGCTGTTGCAGCTGGTGTTGCTGCTGCTGCTGTTGTAGCTGGTGCGGCTGCTGCTGCTGTTTGTAGCTGGCGTTGCGGCTGCTTCTCTTTGTAGATGCTGTTGCTGCCGCGGTGGTGTAGCTGGTGCTGCTGCTGCTGCTCTTGCTGCTGCTGCTGCTGCTGCTGCTGTTTTGGGTTTGTTACCGCTGCCGCTGCTTGGTCGCGAATACGAGAAGAAGTGCATGCGCAGCTTCTGCCCACTTAACTGAACTCCAAATTTAATTTATTTCAATTAATTGAATTTAAATTTAAACTTCAAATTTTCTTCAAATTTTCAAATAAAAAGAAATAACAAATAAACCCATTTAATTATCCTATTTTAATTAAATTAGAATTGTTAAATAAATCTAAAAACGGGGAAAAAATCATTTTTAAAAAATGCATTTTTATTCAATTCTGCTGCTGCAGCAGCAGCAGCCCAGGTGTACGTACACCCGAGCTCTATCACTGCAGCAAAAGCCGATTTCACATTTTTTGTTTTTGTTTTTATTTTTATAAATTCATTTTTTTTAAATGCATTTAAATGTTTCTTTAAATAGTTGTTCAATCAAATGATAGTGTATTATTCAAACTTGAAGAAAAGATGAAATAAATATCCACAGAGAAGTATGGGGCCACGACAACCCTAAACCCTAAACCCTAAACCCTAAACCCTAGATCTTTTCTCCGAAGTCCCTCTACGGGAGGTCTTTGCGGCATTAAAATGAACAATGCAAAGCAGCAACAAGAAAAGAAGTAAAGACAATAATAATAATAATAATAATACTAAATAATAATAATAATAATAATCATAATCATAATCATAATCATAATCATAAATAAAAATAATACAAGTAATTTTATTAATAAATAATATTCAGCTTCAGGCGGCTCCTTGGCCTTCTTGCCGCAGGCGCCGCAGTGCAGCAAGAGGCCCTAGCTAGCTAGCTAGCTGCCTACGCTAGCTAGCTAGCTAGCTGCCTACGCTAGCTAGCTAGCTAGCTAGCTAGCTAGCTAGCTGGCCAACTAGCTAGCTAGCTAGCTTGCTAGGCTGTTAGTTTACTAGTTAGCTAGCTAGCAAGCTTGCTTGCTAGGTTGTTAGCTAGCTTGCCAGCTAGTTTGCTAGCTAGCTAGCTAGCTTGCTAGCTAGCTGTTAGGGCTAGCCAGCTGACACAGCTAGCTAGCTGGTCAGCTGCTGTAGCTAGCTAGCCCTCACAGCCAGCTAGCTAGCTAGATGGAATTTTTCCTTTCTCCCTCTGGCTTTTCCCGCGCTGGCGGCTAGCTAGCTGCCCAGACTAGCTAGCTGGCTAGCTAGCTGTCAGAGACAGCTAGCTGGCTAGCTAGCTGTCAGAGACAGCTAGCTGGCCAACTGTCAAAGCCAGCTAGCTAGCAGCCGTAGCTGGCCAGCTAGCTCTCAGCTAGCGCTGGCAATTGAATAACTAGCTATCTAGCTAGCTGTCGGCGCTAGCTAGCTAGCTAGCTGTCAGCGCTAGCTAGCTAGCTAGCTGTCAGCGCTAGCTAGCTAGCTAGCTGTCAGCGCTAGCTAGCTAGCCAGCTGTCAGCGCTAGCTAGCTAGCCAGCTGTCAGCGCTAGCTAGCTAGCTAGCTAGCCAAGCCACCTCAAGACAGGCCGTGGCTAGCTGCTGCTGCCTCTCATGTCCCTTCGGTCCTTTTTGCCTCTCGCTAGCCGCTCTAGTCTCCTTAAAGAGGCCCTTTTTCCTCCAGCTGCAGCTGCTGCTGCAGCAGCAGAAGCTGCTGCTGCTGCTGCTGCAGCAGCAGAAGCTGCTGCTGCTGCTGCTGCTGGTGCTGTCACCACTGCTGTTGCTGCTGCTGCTGTCACCACTGCTGTTGCTGCTGCTGCAGCTGCTGCTGCTGCTGCTGCAGCTGCTGCTGCTGCTGCTGCTGCAGCTGTTGCTGCTGCTCATTCCTGCAGCAGCTGTTGCTGCTGCTCATTCCTTTTCAAATAGCCACAGCTGCTTCTCAAGAGGCCCTTCGCTAGCTGGGGCGATGCTGCTGCTGCTGCTGCTGTCGAGCAGCACGTGGGCTTGCTGCAGCGCCTCTCTTGCTGCTGCTGCTTCTAAAGAATTGGAATTAAAGCTTTTATTTGAATTTAATTTTTTGTCTCTTTCTGTCTCCAGTCCTTTGCAGTCAAACATGCGCACGAGGCCTCCCCCCGGCAGCCGCGTCACGCCTGCTGCTGCTGCTGTTGCTGCTGCTGCTTCCCGTGCTGCTGCTGCTGCTGCTGCTGCTGGGCGGCGCTCCCGCAGTCTCTCAAGCCGCTGCTCCAAAAACTCTAAGAGGCGGCTGTCTGCGTGGACTCCGTCCCAGAGTCTGTGCTGCTGCTGCTGCTGCTGCTGCTGCTGCTGCTGCTGCTGCTGCTGCTGCTGCAGCTCTTGCTGCTGCTGTTCCTGCTGCTGCGGCGACTCCTCTGCGATGCCTAGGGAGCGCAGCAGCTGTTGCGTCGCTGCTTGCTGTAGCTGCTGCATCTGCTGCTGCTGCTGCTTGTACTTCGCAGCAGCAGCAGCAGCAGCAGCAAATACCTTTTCCTTGTCCCGTAGCATGTCGCCCGGCTGCTGCTCCAGCGGCTTCGTGCTCAGCAGCATCTTTCCTGTAGTCTGAATAAATAAATAAATAAATAAATAAATAAATAAATAAATAAATAA